TGTGCATGAATAAAATAGATCAACAAGATGAGGTCAACCAAGTGTTAGCTCATGAGCTGATTCATGCATATGATGATTGCCGTGCTGCTAACTTGGATTGGACTAATTGTGCTCATCATGCTTGCAGCGAGATCCGATCCAATCACCTAAGTGGAGACTGTCATTACAAACGGGAACTACTGCGAGGTTATTTGAAAATACGTGGCCATGAACAAGAATGTATAAGACGAAGAGCTATGGCATCGTTGTCTGGAAATCCTAATTGCTCTGAAGCAGCCGCCAAGGATGCTATGGAAGCTGTTTGGGATGTTTGTTACAATGACACACAGCCCTTTGACAGAGCTCCATAAGTTCAGTGGCGTTGGGGCTTGCCAGCTCTATGGAATGATTGTTTTGATTTGTTTTGGATAATTTTTGTCTGAGGTAATAATGCAGGAATGTTATTTACCAATGTAAAATGAAATGTCCATCATTCTACAAAATTCATTAAGTTGGCTATATTCCTCCATAAAGTTGGGTTTCACAATTCAAAAATGGTGAATATTATTACATATAGAGAAGTTCTATTTTCTTCTCTTTCTCAAAGCAGGTGGAAGTATGTTTCAGCTTGCATTCAGAGTTTATTATTATCTGGTTTTATACTTCGTCATTAGGTTCAAACTGTGTGCAGAGAAACATAATGAGATTGGGAACAGGTAGAACAGGTTTTGAACTCTGACCACCAGAAGAGGTTTGATAAATTGTTGGCACATTAAAGTTTGAGTTACTGTAACAAACAAGTATGAAGGTTCTTGTTTGATGACTTGATCCTGAGTGCATGCTAGACGGTCGGTGAAATGTTGGAAAGGAAATAGACTTATTTGGATGTGTGATTTATGGTAAAGATTAAATTTTGAAACTTTACAAAGAAAAAAATTTTAAAAAAAATATTAGTATTGGAAAGAAGATCGTTAGGAAACTATGCAATTATTTCCATGTGATTCTTGGGGTAATTGTTTACAATTTGATGGTTAGATAGAAATTAACTTATATAGATGATATGTGTGTTGATTTGCTGACTGTAATAGTAAATGAATATCGTTGAAGTATGCTAGATTGAGTTCACAGAAGTGTTTTGATAGAAATTAAGGGGGTGTTTAGATAAAAACCAAACTATAATTTCAGAAGTGATTTTACAGTATACAAAGTAAATATGTGGATGAGTTTATCTCGATTTGTAGAAAAGTGTTTTTTAAAAGCACTTCTCATGCCATCCAAACACCCCCTAAAGCCTATGAGAAAGAAGAGTTATAAATGAATTGTAGGATGCTATGATGAATAGGGTATTGGTTAGACTTGGAAGCATGTATAGAATGGAATAATAAGAGATTTTCGTTTATGCTGGTTTGTATTGTCATTAAAATTGCTAATCGGTTATGGTATAGACATTATTAGATAAATTCAATGTTATATCCTACGTGAGGAAGGTTGGAGCCAAGATCTTTCTTTCATGTTTTCTTAATTGACATGAAAACTAGAATAAAAGTCTAGTTATTGAGAAAAAGATTTTGTTCGACAGGAAAAGGATTTGATGGCGATTTTAATTGTAAATTAAAAAAATATGACATGTTATAGTTGATTTTTCACAAATTCTATATTATTATTATTTTATATAAGGTAATATATAAGGGGAAGTTGGACATTTGATTTATGAAGGTTTTATAAAGTACTCATCTGATCCTATTCATAAAGTACTTTTAATATGTTTTACACAGACTAAGAAAAACTTTAAACTGTATTAATTCTTCGTTAAAATATAATAACTTTTCAACTTTATCCATATTTAATATACACATCTTTTAAAAAAATAACTACCTATACTATAATAAATTAAAAACAATATAACACATTCATAGTAAAAATGTAATAAAATGATTTATAAATATGAACCCAAAAAAATTTTCTCTCTCTACTCTATAAATAGGATAAGAGGATTATAATATACATACACTCAAGAAGAAAACTTTCACGAATTGGCAAAAAATGTTTTCTTTACAAAATTTTGAACATTTTTATGTATTAGGCACAAAGCAGTGAAAGCACCAGTATATTCGTGGCCCTCGAATTACGCCAGCATATTCATAGCCTTCGAGCTGTGCCTCTATATTCAAAGCCTTCGAATTGTGCCTATTATTCATGGCCTCCATGTTATGCTTATTATTCGTGGCCTCTGAGCTGCGTCTATTATTCATAACCTTAATATTGCCCTATTATTCATTTTATGTTGATTCCTCTGATAAAACCAATTTTTAGAAAAGTAATGATATTTGCATCACTATTCCTTTTTTGCGGAAAAGGATTTATTTTATTGAATGTTTTATTTAAGTTGAACTTATGATGATTTTCTTCTATTTATATTTTTTGTGCAGGCATGTTTATATCAATGACAATGCTATTTTTCTTTATTGAAAAAGTCTCATACTTTGTAAAGATTGGTTGATTAATTTCCGGGAAGTCGAACATTTAAAAAGACATGTTGAATTTTTTTTCCCCCCACAAAGATTCATGAAATTAAAGTGTCACTTGATATTAATAAAATAGATCTTACCAATTATAGATAGGAAAATAGTAAATTAAAAAGGCACCTTATGCTTTGGTCACACTTTAGTATATTTGGGGTATAACAAATCAAATTAATTGAAAAAGTCTTATATTAAGTATAAAGATAAATATGATTTTCCCATGCATGTCATTTATATCATAGCGTATTCATGAAAGGTATTTTAATGTAGTCATGAAAATAATTAAATAATTCGAGCATTTACAAATAAAACATTTTCCTCTGAAAGTATTTACAAAGAAAGGGTATAAATAAAATAAAAACATTTTGGGAAAATGACAGTAAAATACCATGTGAATTTTAAAAAAACAAATAAGGCACCTGAATAAACAAAATGACAAAGAAGGCATCAGGTACCAATTTGGAATTTTGATTTTTGACCTAAAGACCGAATTGCCCTTATTATGTTTGAAAACTGAGGAGATAGAGAAAGGTAGAAACCGCCTCCTCCCGACGAAAGCAATCCCCCCACGCGGCGAAAGAGAAACTGCCCCCACTTGGCGAAACCAATCCACCTACTCGATGAAACTAATCCCTCCCCTCAACAAAACCGAATCCCCCTACTCGACGAAACCAATCCCTCCACTCAACGAAACCGAACCCCCCCACTCCATGAAACTAAATCCAAGCTCCTCCAGTCACTGAAAAAGGTTCTCCGATTTGCAAGGGGATTTGTATATAAGAGGATTTGCAAACTATTTTTAGGAAATGTAAAGCTGCCTGATTTTCAAGTATTGTTAAATCATTTGCCCAGAATGTTACTACACGTATAACGAGATTTATAACTCGCGAAGTGAATTTGACCACTTCTTCGAGGGGTTTGACAACCTGTTTTGAGGGGCAGTGCAACTTTTCTCTACAAAAATATAATTCCATCCTGAATTTAACAAAACATATAGTGGGATTTACAATTTTCACAGTGAGTGTTACTACATTTTCAATGGGATTTGTAACCTTTTGTGAGGGGCTGGCCAATGTTTCTGTCAAAAACAAAACAATTCCACGCTGAATTTTACAAAACACATAGTGGGAATAACAACTTTCACAGTGAGATGTACTACTTCTTCAATGGGTTTTGCAACCTTTTGTGAGGAGGTGGGCAACTTTTCTGTCAAAAAAAAAATAATTCCACGCTGAATTTTACAAAACATATAGTGGGAATAACAACTTTCACAGTGAGATTTACTACTTTTTCAACGGGTTTTGCAATCTTTTGTGAGGGGCTGGGCAACGTTTCTATCAAAAACAAAACAATTTCGCACTGAATTTTACAAAATACATATTGGGAATAACAAATTTCACAGTGATATTTATTACTTCTTCAATGGGTTTTGCAACCTTTTGTGAGGGGGGGTAAATTCTCTATAAAAAACAATACAATTTCACGCTGAATTTTACAAAACACATAGTGGTATTTACAACTTTCATAGTGAGAGTTACTACTTTGTGTAATGTAATGCACCATTCACGAAACAATATTTGCCAAAAACTAACAGCCATATAACAGCAGATACATTACATATATTCAAATGACTGCACTGAAGTACATCAAAGTAAACATTAAACCATTAACTTTCATACTAACTACATGTGTAATGGAATGTACTATTCACGTAACAGTATTTATCCAAAAACCAGTAGCCATATGACGGCAGATACATTACATATATTCAAATGACTGCACTCTACTCTTGCGACGGTTACCAATTTCACCGACAGCACGTTACTCCTGCGACAACGATAATGTAATTTCGGAGAACCTTTTTCAGTGACTAGAGGAACTTGGATTTAGTTTCGCCGAGTGGGAGGATTGGTTTCTCCAAGTGGGGGGATTCGGTTTCACTAGCTGAGTGGAGGGATTGGTTTCATCGAGTGGGGGGATTCGGTTTCGCCAAGTGGGGGGATTGCTTTCGCCGAGAGGTGACGATTTTTCCCTTTCTCCATCTCCTCAGTTTTCAAACATAATAAGGGCAATTCGGTCATTAGGTCAAAAATCAAAATTCCAAATTGGTACCCAATGCCTTATTTGTCTTTTTGAAATTCACATGGTATTTTACTGTCATTTTCCCAAACATTTTCCTATGAGAGCTTCCATAAAGCACATGAACTCCTTCCATAAAGCACATGAACTCTAGTCAAAATGGCAAGTCCAAGGAGTATTTGGGTAAGAACAAAGTTATGGTTTTAAAAGTATTTTTAAGGTATATAAGATAAATATGTAGATGAATTTGTCCTGATTTGTTAAAAAATAATTCGAAAACCATTTCTAAAGTAAGCCAAACACTCCCTAGAATCAATTGACTATGAAACCCCTTCCCCACTCACTTGCATATAATCACTTATTCAGTTATTTGTTATGAAGACTTTGGGTAGCACCGTGTCGGACCTGGCCTTGCGGTAGACAAACATAGAAAGCTTGCTTTCTGGAAAATTATGGAATGGGTAGACATGGTTTTGTTAAACAATTGGTCGGTGACCTCTCTTTCCTCGACTCCTCACCCTTTGCAAAGCTTTTGGAATCTTGTATCCGATCAAAATCTGGACTTGACACGCGTCGCATTCATGCTCGAGTCATTAAGACCCAGTTTTCCTCAGAAATCTTCGTCCAGAATAGGCTCATTGATGCCTATGGGAAATGCGGTTGTTTAGATGATGCGCTCAAGCTGTTTGATCATATGCCCCAAAGGAACACTTTTAGTTGGAACGCCATTTTGAGTGCATTGACAAAGTCTGGTAATCTTGATGAGGCTGCAAGGATCTTTAAGTCAATGCCGGAGTCTGACCAGTGCTCGTGGAATGCCATGGTATCAGGCTTTGCCCAGCATGATCGCTTTGATGAAGCTCTGAAACTTTTTGTTGGCATGCACGGTGAGAATTTTGTACTGAACGAGTATTCCTTCGGCAGCGCTCTTAGTGCCTGTGCAGGGTTAGCGGATTTGCATATGGGTGTACAAATCCATGCTCTGATTTCAAAATCTCATTTCTCGTTTGATGTTTACATGGGTTCTGCTCTTGTTGACATGTATGGTAAATGTGGGATGGTGGTCTGTGCTCAGAAAGCTTTCGATGGCATGGTGGAACGGAATATAGTTTCTTGGAACAGTTTGATCACATGCTACGAGCAAAATGGTCCTGCAAGTCAGTCCATTCAGGTTTTTGCAAGGATGATGAACAATGGGATTGAACCAGATGAAATTACTCTGGCCAGTGTAGTCAGTGCTTGCGCCAGCCTGTCGGCGATTAAGGAAGGTTTGCAAATTCATGCTCGTGCGATGAAATGTGATAAATTTAGGGAGGACCTTGTGTTGGGTAATGCATTGGTTGATATGTATGCCAAATGCAGTAGAGTAAATGAAGCCAGATTGGTATTTGATAGGATGCCACACAGGAACGTAGTGTCTGAAACATCAATGGTCAGTGGATATGCAAAGGCAGCAAGTGTGAAAGCGGCCAGATTGATGTTTTCAAATATGACAGAGAGGAATGTGGTCTCCTGGAATGCACTCATTGCAGGTTACACACAAAATGGAGAGAATGAAGAGGCTGTAAAATTATTCCTCCTCTTAAAAAGGGAATCCATTTGGCCAACCCATTACACCTTTGGAAATCTACTTAATGCATGTGCTAATCTTTCTGACCTGAAGCTGGGTAAACAGGCTCATGCTCACATTATAAAGCATGGGCTTCGATTCGTGTCTATAGGAGAGCCAGATATTTTTGTGGGAAATTCTCTCATTGACATGTACCTAAAATGTGGATTGATTGAAGATGGGTATGCAGTTTTTGAGCGCATGGTAGAAAGGGATAATGTGTCATGGAATGCCATGATTGTGGGATACGCACAAAATGGTCATGGCATAGAGGCTCTTGAAATTTTCAACAAAATGTTGGTTTCTGGAGAAAAACCAGATCATGTAACGATGATAGGAGTTCTATGTGCTTGTAGCCATGCTGGTCTGGTTGAAGAAGGGCGGCATTATTTTCATACAATGAGAACCAAGCATGGTTTAGAACCGTTGAAGGATCATTATACATGCATGGTCGACTTACTAGGTCGGGCTGGTTGCCTTGATGAAGCCAAAAATTTGATAGAGGCAATGCCATTGCAGCCTGATTCTGTTGTATGGGGATCTCTACTTGCTGCTTGTAAGGTTCATGGCAACATTACATTAGGGAAGTATGTAGCAGAAAAGCTCTTAGAGATTGATCCTCTGAACTCAGGACCTTATGTTCTGCTTTCCAATATGTATGCTGAGCTTGGTAGATGGAAAGATGTTGTGAGAGTAAGGAAACTGATGAGACAACGAGGAGTAATCAAGCAGCCTGGTTGCAGTTGGATTGAAATTCAGAGTCATGTGCATGTTTTCATGGCAAAAGATAAGAGACATCCTCAGAAAAAGGACATATATTCAGTGTTAAAAATTCTCTTGGAACAGATGAAGCGAGCTGGCTATGTGCCAGCTATTGATAATGACGATTCCATTGAGGAGGAAGGTGACTTTGAACTAATCTTGCACTGTGAAACGGAAATGCCTTTAGATGCTGCAATGGGATGAAATATCTAACTAATTTGATTATGGCTTAAGGGAATCAATTCTCAATCAGCCTTTCTGTTCATGTGAGTTGGAAGAAGACCAGCCATTAATAATCTCAACTTTTCAAGGTACACAAATCAGTAGCTGTTGAACTCTGAGCAGACTCTTCTAGTTACTGCAGGTTTCATTTTTTTTTGGGGGGGGGGGGGGGGGAGAACCAGCTTTCTTGCAGTTACACACTTGATTTGGTGATATGATCATGTCCTCAGTCTGGTTGCCAGGACAACCAGTCAAAAACAATCATGAGTCTTTGGCATCTCTTGCGTATGCAAGCACATGGCTGCTCCGGGATTTTTTTGTTTTTTTTCCCCCAAGGGAATACTGAGGTATCTGCGCTGACAATGATTCTCATATTGTCTTCAAAGTGCTGTATTTCTATCATTTGATATAAACTCTCCTTTAATTGGCTGATTTCAGTTGCCAGACATGTACTCCAGGCGTAATACAAAGGTATTTCTTGACGGTGATTATTCATCTTCTCCGTTTCTTGCATTTGAAAATTTGAAAGTAATTATTACTAAAGAAGATATATATTGTGGCATTCAAGATAATGAAATAGGGTTAAGCTGAATCCTGACTTATTATTGATCCCAGTTTAGGTAATTATAAGTCAGGATTCAGCATTTGGGGATGTGCATTTCAAAATTTATATATGCGCATTAAAAATAATTTTGCATTAGATCCAAGAGATTAAAAAAATAAAATTGACAAGCTAGTAATATGCTACAGAGTGAAACATGTCTTCTGTTTTTTCTTGCCATTATTTCACGGATATCATCACAATATTATTAAATTTTACATTATGTAATGATGAAATTGGTCCTAAATTTTGAAACAGTTAAAAGGTTGGTCCATCTAGTTATTGACGGTGCTGACTTTTACAAACGGAGTTAACTTTGCTAAGGTGGCATAAATAATAATGAGTTACATTTTTTGACTAAATGAGCTGGCGTTTTAAATTAGAATTAGCAGATAAAAAAATATTATGAGAAAGAAAAAGGAGGCATAGAAGAGATGGACAAAGGCGGAAGACAGTTGAGATCGAAGAAAGGAACTGACGGAGGAGAGAGTGGAGATCAACCAACAATGTATACGTGTAATCAACATGAAGACTATTTTAAAAATAAATAAATAAATATAAAAAAATAAAGTGAAGTATAATTTTATATTTAGGATCGAATTGATTTTTCAACTTGTTCTTATATTTAGAATAAAAAATAATAATTTTATCAGTAAAAGGGTATCAGGTACTTTGATATTAATATTGCACAACATGCCAACATGTCACGTGTTAAGTTCCAAATGCTAGTACTAAAGAAAGGAATGGGCATGAGGAGAGTCTGATAAAGAAATGCAAATTAAAAATACACCAAATTCACCTCTTTCTGGTTGTGTTTTTATTTCTAGCAACCCTATCACATCATATGAAAGAAACACAAACAAACTTGTCAAGAACAGAGAGGTTCAAATAATATGAAACTTCTCAGCATACATATACAATTCTCAACTCTTTTAATCACCAATGCATGAGGACGTGTATGGAGAGAAAGAGGCGAATCAGACGACCGCAGGAAAAAAAAAAAGGTCGGAGGGTTTGGTCACATAAGCATATTCTCAGTTTGCTTCTATAATGTTCAGTTTGGGTCGGGGATGCTGTCTCATGATAAAAACAAGGAGAAAAAGAAGGAGTTTTATAAAGAGTTCAAAGTCAAATAAAAAGGGTTCTTCTTTTCCAACATGTTGAGATTGATCCCGAAAAAGACAGGGAAAATCTGATGCTTACGGAGAAATTGAGGAAAAAGTCTTGCTTACTCATTTGTTTCTCCAAGAAGTGGGCTCGTCAGTGCTCATCACAGTGATGAGTACCATGATACGTATTGTTGTAATGAAATCTAAATCACTGAAATATAATTTTAATGTTCTACATTAAAAATTTTCAACTAATGATTTTTTAATGAAAATTTATTTTTTAAAAAACCTTACAGTTAAGATATTGCATTTATTTTGGATTATGTACCTATTAAAAGAAAATATTTTTAAAAAACAAAAATATTAAACATTAAATCTTGGCTCCCTATATTAAATTTAAATGGTTAAGATTCGATAAGTATCATGATGTGCTAATTACTGTGATGAGTACTACAATTGATTCCCTGATGGTAATAGTCATGTTAATAATAATGTGCGTTCATCATGTTACATAAATTTGTTTGAATATTTCTTTAGTTTCTCTTATTTGGTCGGTTTGTTATGGTTGAAGAGTTCAGGTTATAGCTGGCCAAAGGAAAAAAAATAGTTCAGGTTATCAATTTTGGTTTGTTTTTAATAAATCGTTTGTGAGCACCATTTCTTGTGTTTGGAGGTTGATGTTTTGAGATTTATAGTGAGCCCTCTTGTCCTATTTATGATACTCCTCCAGTCCTAAATGTAAGATCCTTATACACACTAGTATAAGGGTCTTACATTTAGGACCGGAGGAGTATAACACTTCCGATATATTTTAATGCATATATAAAAAAAAAAAAAGACAAAATAGTAAGGTATCCCCCTACTAGACAGCAATAATTCATGTCTCCCTATGACTAGTTTGGAAATTCAATAAAAGAAATATTTTTTACATTTTATGAAATGAAATTTCTCTTATATATTTATTTCATGCTATTCAAAATCATTTCTCTCATTAAAAACAACATCCACATCAAAACTAGTTATTTCAAAAATTATAATATACATTCAATAATTATGAATCAGTTAAAAATTAAAAATAAATGAAAAATTGAAATCATAAAAAGCCTTTGTGATAGTCACTAAATCATTCTACCGTACAAAAAATATAAAGAAAAATAATAATGTTAAATAATTTCTATGCACACAAATGGGTGGGTGTGGATGGCCAAGGTTGGGCTTATCTTCGCCCGACCCAATAACAATTGCATATTTTAGCTTGTTTTTTAGTTATAGATATGATAAAGGGAAAATGACAAATAAAGAAGGTGGAATTCATGAAATTCCAGTTTGGGAAGCTAAGAAAATGTAAGGACAGAGGGGAAAGTCCTTCCCAAATTGGAATTTTGAAATTCAGTGAAATGACAAAAATGCCCTTTGTCTTCTTTTTTTTTAAAAAAAAACTCAGCCCCTCACCGGCCGCCGACCGCCGGCAGCCAACAGCCGCCGCAGGCCAACGGTGTGGTGGCTGCCGGTGGAGTTTTTTTTGTAACAGTGTTTTTTTTTTGTATGGGAGAATATTGCAAGAAATGGTGGGGGTGGGATTTGATCCCACAACCTCTTGGTCATTTGGGCCAACAAAACGATAGATAACCATTGGGCCATCAAAGACTTGTTAACTTTATAATGCAAACAAAAATATAAGTTGACTCTTTTACTGTGACTTCAGCCCGTGACAACAATTTACCTGAGGATGACAAGTCTTAACTGAGAAATAACAAGTCTAAATTTGATATTAACAAAGCAACTTTTCCTGATACATAACAAGAAATAGCATGTACATTAATTAAAAATGGAAATAATTTATTTGAAAATGACTCGTCTTTATTGGAAAATGACACGTTTAAACGTGAGATTAACAATATGCCTTTTTCCTGATACATAACAAGAAGTAGCATGTACATTAATTAAAAATGACAATAATTTATTTGAAAATGACACATCTTTACTGAAAAATAACAAGTCTAAACTTGAGATTAATAATGTGTCTTCTCCTGACACATAATCTAAACATGAGAATACATAATCTAAATTTGAGATTAATAATGTGTCTTCACTGGAAAATGACACGTCTTTTTGTTGGAACCCCCTCTTTTTTTTTAATTAAAAAATGGGTTAGTTGTCCAATAAAAAGTAACAATAATAGCAGTATTAGTTGTCTTCTCCTGATTCATTTTCCAGTGAAGACACATTGTTAATCTCAAATTTAGATTATGTATTCTCATGTTTAGATTATGTGTCAGGAGAAGACACATTATTAATCTCAAGTTTAGACTTGTTATTTTTCAGTAAAGATGTGTCATTTTCAAATAAATTATTGTCATTTTTAATTAATGTACATGCTACTTCTTGTTATGTATCAGGAAAAAGCATATTGTTAATCTCACGTTTAAACGTGTCATTTTCCAATAAAGACGAGTCATTTTCAAATAAATTATTTCCATTTTTAATTAATGTACATGCTATTTCTTGTTATGTATCAGGAAAAGTTGCTTTGTTAATATCAAATTTAGACTTGTTATTTCTCAGTTAAGACTTGTCATCCTCAGGTAAATTGTTGTCACGGGCTGAAGTCACAGTAAAAGAGTCAACTTATATTTTTGTTTGCATTATAAAGTTAACAAGTCTTTGATGGCCCAATGGTTATCTATCGTTTTGTTGGCCCAAATGACCAATAGGTTATGGGATCAAATCCCACCCCCACCATTTCTTGCAATATTCTCCCATACAAAAAAAAAAACACTGTTACAAAAAAAACTCCACCGGCAGCCAGCACACCGGCTGCTGGCTGTCGGCCGCCGGTGAGGGGCTGAGTTTTTTTTTTTAAAAAAAAGACAAAGGGCATTTTTATCATTTCACTGAATTTCAAAATTTCAATTTGGGAAGGACTTCCCTCTCTGTCCTTACATTTCCTTAACTTCCCAAACTGGAATTTCATGAATTCCACCTTCTTTATCTGTCATTTTCCCTATAATAAATGGGGATTATAGATTTTAATTGCAGATATTATTTGCCAGAAATATGTGTTAGTCTAGGATTTATTTTTTAGCATACATAGAAAGTTATGCATGAACTATTTGTTTTGCGATACTTAATGTTTTGGCCAACTAAAGAAAAATCGTTATAAATAATAATTGCAAAATTTAGTTTGACTTTGTATGTGAAAATAAATACTTATACTAGGGTTTTAAAATATTTTTCAGGTATCGATAAATCATGGATTCACTTGCTTGAATAAAATAATCAAGAATATTCAGAAGGATTAGAAATTGGATAAAAGTGTCTCCAACATCCTAACTTTTTCTATAATACATTCAGTACCTTGATCTTATTTTAAAAAATTAAAATACTGAATACATTAAAAATAAGATTGGGGTACTAGATAGGAAAGGAAAAAAGATAAAGATAAAGGATAAGATGCGCACACTAAAAAAAGAATGTTAGATATTACTTTACCCTTACAAAATGGTTAGATTAATGCAATCTTAAATGGAAGATAACTTGTCCATGCTTTAGGTGTCATTGATGAGGTGGCCCATAAAAAAGACTGCTGTGAAAAAGCATTTGGCGTAATTACCCTCGGCAGATGAGTCAGGAAAATATGCATACCCACTCTATCATTTATTAAAAGATCTAAATAATTGCATTGGCAAAAAAATCCAAATAATCAACCGAATTGCGTGGTTTAAAAATTGTTAAAATTAATTAAAATTAATAAATTTGTATTTTTAAATATATCCTAATTTATAAGTAGATAAATAAGATAGAGTAGTAATGATAAAATGATGAAAAAAGATTAATTAAGAGTAAAATTAGTAAAAGCATATTTAATTTTGTAAAAAAGGACAAAGGGATTCAAAAAATTTGGATCTACTAAAAATAAATGGAGAGAGTGGTTCATCCATTTGGTCTATAATACTTCTAGATGAAAAGCCAATAGCCTTGTAATCTGATTGCACGAAAACTTTTTTGTAAGTATAAGTGAGGGATTGCTGGTTTAATTTCATTTGTAATCCTAGAATGTTAGTGTTTGTGCCTCTCTAATTAAAAAATATATCTAGGTAAAAGGTTATCTGGTGCTTTGATATTTATGTTTGTCTTCAACCGTTAATGCAAGACTTTTTATGATTCCTACTCCACACAAAAAAAAAAAAAAAATTAAAATGCATACAGCTTTGATGTTGTGGATTATAAGTAATTTTCTACATTTTGACACAATGCAGGCAGATGGGTACAGCGCCTTCTTCATCTTTCAGAGGAACGCATAAAATTAAAGTATTCGAAGACTTTAATTAGCAGCATATCCCATGAGGTATTTCTTGAGAGAAGGGTTTTCACAGTAAATAAAAAAGAATTGTATAGTGGTTCGTAAATGATAGATTTAAACTTGTAAATTATACTGGAGAAAATCTCGTAAGGTTTCAGGGCTAGGACATATATAGTCGCCAGTGGATAGAGTTGAATCTAAGATAATTTGCTGCCTGAAATGTCTCCATCCCTTAACTATTTACAGGTCCAGCTCTATCAGTTTTTTGTTCTCCATTTTGTGTTCAAAGCTGTATTTGGCGTCTTTAGTGGTTTATTCATAAAGCCATTTTTAGTTGGAAAAAAAAAATTCAAGCTTCACTTACTCTTTGTGATTGTGAACATTCAAAATTAGTGTAAACATTTTTATAAACAAACCTTTGAACGTGGTTATGCTTAAACTCAGACTACCACTTTATTTTACTAATTAAGAAAATTTGTAAAGGAATCTAAAATTGGTCAACACCAAATTCACCTCTTTCTGAGCGTGTTTTTATTTCTAACAACCCCATGACATCAAAAGAAAGAAACACAAACAAACTAGTCAAGAACAGACATGTACTCCAAGAATATTAAACTTCTTAATATATATACACACAATTCTCAACTTGAAAGCATATAGTCATTAATCAGTAATCCTTCTCAACATCAAATCTTCAAGCATATAGTCATTAATCAGTAATCCTTCTCAACATCAAATCTTCTCAACAGAAACTACTTGGAGGACAGAAAATATGGTTTGAATAATAGATAGAATGAGGAGCAAAATTCCAGTTACTGAGATAGCAACTTGCCACGGCGTGCTGCAATAATCCCTTCTCAAATTTGCCTTCCACTTGTGCCAAGGATTTTGACAAATCCTATTCAACCTTTTGCAAATATCAAGGTAGTCAGAACTGAAATCCATTACAATGGCATCTTTCCATAGGCCATTAACTAGGGCAGCTACATTATTAGCATCACCTAAATAGTTGCGTATTATTTTCCTGTGAATAAGGATATTCACATCTTTACTTGTGCTGATCAGGCAATCCAACATAATGACATAGTCAGCAATGTATGAAGCATAAGGATAATGACACTGTTCTAAAGCTATCATATTACGAAACAAAATTTCGGTTTTATCTTCCACCAAGATCTCTGGGACTTCAAGAACACACCTAGAAATTTTCAAGTCAAGTAAACACCTGCTTTTGCTTGCCTTTAATTGCACTCCAGCTTCTTGTAAGTCACTTGCAGTATATAAAAGAATATGGTCTCTAGCCTCTAGAGATGAATGCCTTGACGTTGTAGGTCCTGTTCTTGGTAAGTGAAAGAATCTAATAAGATCTGTGAAGTGCTTAATCTTAACATTAGAATTAGGCTTTAACTTTTGCAAGTTAAAGTATTCAAAGAAGTTATATGTGAGCTCAAGAAATGGTCGGATGTTATCACAAAGATTCACAGGGAATGCTTTCTCATATAGATCTTCTAGGAAGAAAAATGGAAGTTGATTCTCAAGTAAAAGCAAATCCATCCTTACAGCAACCCTCAGCCATGGCTGTGACAGCTTAGCATCATTACGCATCACATGATCTTCATAGAAGCCCTTGAAGAGTTCAATTATGAAACCAGCATCCACTAACATGAGTTTCACAAGTTCCTTCCTAGAAAGTTTGATGTTTTCCGAGTAAGAAGCACGAACTTTTGGCTCTAAATGTCTTACATAACTAACCAAATCATTCAAACTTGTCATAGCCTGTTGTGTGAATCTTTTGAACAAGATTTGCTTGTGAGTTTCCATGTCAAACAACCTCACATCACCATAATGAATTGGACCAATAGAAACAGCTTTTGGAATGTAAGCCTCTTCTTTTAAATGACGAATTGTATGAGGCACCCTATAGATACAACATGTAGGTGAGAAGAGACCATTTTCGTTTTGTTGAATCATTTCTTTAATGTCCATGATCACCTCAACTTCCACCTATATATATATATATATATAAAGTTTCAGTTAAAGAAAGCGTTTAGCAATTCCATAAGCATATATATAGCAATAACTGAAACTAAACAAAGCTAAAGAGAACCCAAACATGTTTATGAAGGAGATCTTCATCACAGTATATGATATGCTTACCTGTTCAAAATGATTGTAGGATGAATCTGCAGAATAAGGTGTGAGGGGAAGTTGCTGCATTTCTTCTGCAATATTCTCAGAGGCTAAGTGTTTCTGCTTCATATATAACAGCCAATTTTTATTCTTGAAAAGAGCCTTACTTCACAATGTGGAGATCACTAGGATATCCTTCTTATATTGGGGGAAAAGAAACTGATGACTGTATATATAAAGGATGAACAGTCAAATGGGTTAAAGAGATAGATGCTAAAAATAAAGAAGTAAAGAACAGAATAAATGCTTCGTTTAATCCTCCTTTCGTATCAAATTGGAATTTTAATCTTGTTCTGTAAAAAAATATCATCCCCTCGATTTTCTTAATCAAAAGGAACAAGCACTAGCAGCATAAAGTTATAAATGACAAATAAAGCTTACATATCGATCACTAAGTTACAAGACTAATCACAGTTCCGATTCTAAATGTGGGCTTTTTTTTCCATTAAATCCAAAGGTTCAAGATTTACCCCACTTTATATCATTAAATTCTTTTTTTTAAAACAAAATTTAATCAATTTTTTTTAGTATATGTGAAGTTTATAACTGTATCTTATATTTGTACGACCTGAAAGATTATAATAATAGAATATGAAATTTGATAGAACTCGAAACTGGAAATGGAAACAATATATAAAATGGTGTCATGTCATCTTTATCATCTCCACTTTACTCCACTGAGAGTGCTGCAGAATTTGCTTCTTTCCTTTTCTTCTTGTTCTCAACATCATTATGGTGTTTCCTTTTCCTTATTGGGCTAATAAATCGACAAGTGTCCAACCTATATCTCCTACAATATTCAAGGAAGACATCAAAATTCCCACTGTGTTGGATATTTATCCACGAGTGAGTTAAATGATGAAACATAGATTTAGGCTAAAATTTTAAATTAAATTTTAGATAATTGAGATATTGACTTATTAATTTGATCGCTTGAGATTCCAATTTTGAATAAGAGTCAAAATCCAATATTTATCTTTTAGATGTTATTGGAAAATGGTGTTGACTGCTGTTAATATTCATGTGGTGATCATGATGCAAATAAGTGTACCTTATATATATTTGGCACACTACATTCCCTTCCTTCATGAGAAGCTTAGTTTAATTTGGACGGCTATAAAAGATTTCATTACTATTATCTACAAATATAAGACTTGTATTGTCAAGTTTTATACTTCAATAGCATCAAACACCTTCTTTATTTTTCCTAAACGTGGGGTTGTGAGAACACTCTGTGAAGGCGGTGTAATATTTGTGGAGGATATGATACCCAAAAAAAAAAATTAGGAGACTTTTGTTGAATCCATTAGGACTGTTTTTAATTTGTAAATATTGAAGCTTTTATAGTAGAATTTTTTAGCGTGTGTTTTTTGTGTTCTTTTTTCAAAAAAAAATATTATAGAATTTGCATTAATTACTTGCCAAAACTAGAAAACTTTCTTATTGTAAGGGGGGGAGAAAGGCTTTCCTTTGTTAAAGCCTCTTCGACGGGCAATTTAGCATGCGAAAGTGACAGATACACCCACACACGAGGAACACGAAAAAAGAGGAGATAAAGCTATAAAAGAAGAAGACAAGGTACAAACGAAAAGAAGATGGTTGGGTCGGACCGATTATTTTTTAATTGTTTTGACTTTTTTGTACTGATCTTGATTCTTGACATGTCAAAATTACTTATTTATTATTTTAAAATTTAATAAGTATTTTTTTATCATTTTTTTCCTTAAAAGAAGCTGAAAAATTATCACTTTACAATTGTGCGGTGTCTTCAAAAGCATAACAAATCCTCCAATTCTTTTATCTAGTATGGTATGTCATTTTGAGACAAGAGGATAATATAATATTAATTTTACGTTTGGAAAATGAGTGCCAGCGCGAATATAAAGATGATTAAATTAAAAGTAAATGAGCTAAGAGCAGAAAGATAGACGCGTACAGTTGATATGCTTTGGTTTGGTCTCCGAATCTTTTACAACATCTTAGCAGCTCCTCGCATAATACTTATATGGATATTTTTGTACATTAATCCTTTCTTAGAACATTGAATAAGATAATAGTATATATAATAACGGATACTTTAGTAACCTTTGCAGATGTGTACATGTGAGATAACACGACATAGGAGGATCAAAAAGCCATATGAGGATCATGATGCCCACATGGAATAGTTATTAATATTGCCATTAGCTAGCAGTGATATGATGAGAAACACATTTGATTGATTTGTGTTCATAGTAATGCACTAAAGTGCTTGGAATGGGCGAACTTGATGATCAACTTCCCAAGTTGAAGTGGAATGCTCACAATATATATGAGTATATGCCATCATTCTTCACGGTTATGATTGATTCCGATAATCCATAAAAGCATTGTTGTTGTGTGTTATATTTGTGCTCTAGTCTCCAATCCAAGAAGGACTTTTTCATTTCAAAATATCAATAAAATAAAAATTTAATACATCTATATATATATATATATTCTAAATGGTTAGATCAAGTAAATCTTCTATACTGTCAACGTCAAGTTGCCCAAGTGGTAGCATTACCCACTCATGTGAATGAGGTTCTAGACTCAGGATTTGAATCTTCTCAGAATTTATTTTTCTCATTTTCTTATCAAAATCTCATCTTCATAGTTGCATCAAATAGTGGATAGTTTAAATTTACTGTTTACGTAATATCATAATAATAGTTTTATAAAATATGAAATTTGAACCATTCATTATTTGATCCAACAATAAAAATAAAATTCTAGAAAGAAAAGGAGAAAACGAGATTTTGCCCTAAACCCAAGCTTGACTTTAACGTGTTTATGTACGTAGGTGTGTTTAATTATATAAAATAAAAAAAGGTAAATCTTCCCCACCCTCTAAAGACATGGAATTCATTTATTGGTCATAAATTAGGAGCAATTTACTTACAAATAATCTAATAATGATTTCGTTTAGTATCTTGATAGTAGAGTACTCATCAAAATTTATAATATTTTCTAAAATATTCTTGTTGATTGTGGATAATTCCAATATACAATATTAAATAGAATAATTTAAAAAAAATCAACATAGATTTGTTATAGATAACCAACTTAACTAATTTTTTAAATTTCTCTAAATTAGTTATTTAACTCTTATATTAAAGAATAGCCGCAGTGTTAATTATCACATTGGGATCCAATAATGTTGAGATGCATGTTTATATTTTTTAAAAAATAATTATTATTATCAGATCGCAATCCAACCGTATTCAAGGGGAGTTACAATTTTTTCCCCCCATTTGAGTCCGAACTGAGGAAACCTAAAGGCTAAAGCCTTAATTAAAAAGCTCCAAAGTAAATGCCATATGATTTTCCTCTAACTTGCTATTGGGCCACGATGGGATGGGCTTTTCTTCATTTCATTGGGCTGTCTGGTTAAGTTAAACTGCAAAAGGGCTTAAGGCTCAAATTCATGGTAAAATCCTTTTTTTGGGCCTTGCTTGGGCAAAAGGCTTACATCTATGAGACTGATGATTTTATGGACATACGTTATCAAATATTTGAATAGTTATTTATTATCAAATATGCACAGGCCCATGTTAAACTTAGACAAAATAACAACTTGTATTTATGTAGAATATAAAAACTCTACGAAGTTGCCATATTTATAAATTATGAATAGTACTATGCGCAAAACTCACATTAATTATAATAATTGAGAAAAAAACATTAAATTTGTATCATGCTTTTTTGAAAGAAGTGGTTTTTAATCTTTAAGTAAAATAAAATTCATATGAAATTAATATTGTTATTTTTTGTGCTATGATATATTCATATATGGAAGAAAATAAAAACGGTAGTTTCATGGACCTGCTTTAATTTGGGATGAAAGGAAAATATAAATACAAGAGACACCTTCATGTTAGTTTGAATTGAGTTTAAAGAAATATTGGGTTGTATTTCAAATTCAAAGACTAATTTTACAAGGAAATATTTTTTCAAAAGAGTATTAAATTTTTATTTTTTAAATTAATCAATCAATTAATTCTTGCTAATATATTATTTTTAACCACTTGCATATTGAAGAAAAAATTGCTTGGCAAAATTAGTGTGGTTAAAGAAGACTGATTTTTTGGGGGTTGCTCTCCCTCGCTCAGTGAGAAGCTAATACAATTGGGCTAAGTCCCCGTACTATTCACCAAAAAAAGCAAGAAAAAGACTAAAATTAGTAATTGTGAGCTTTTTTTTTTCTTTTTGTGAAAGTTTTGAAAGCTTAGAAAAAGAATAGAAAATATGAAACTTACAATTAAGATGTAGAATTGAATTTTTTTATGTGTAACTCAGAGTATCCTCAAGTACTTTAGACTTGAGACTAATCTCTGTCAAGTCATAATCATTAAGGTTAAATATCCCACAAAAATGAGAAGAAGTTAGTCCAGAGGGAGTTCCAACTTCTTAAGCAAGATGATGCTGATTTGAGTTTATTGTGAAGGGTTGGATTCTTTGGTAGATTTTGATGATAATTAGATAATCTTCACGTCAATATCTTCATCAATTTAAAGAATCTAAGAGATGAGAAGTACTTTTTTTTTATAAAAAGAATCAACTTATAAAAACAAATTGGAATTTGCTTAAAACTAATCATATCATTTATAAGCCATAATCAGCATAATTTGTGTCTTAATTATTCCTATCAATTCAATGATCAATGCATGTGACTTGCTTAAGTTTGTTTGATTTTGCTGCTAGGTGAATAGTGAATGGTGATTATGAGAAATAATAATGAAGGTTGAGAGCTTTATGTAAAGTTAAGAGTCCTTTTG